TAACACCGTGTAACGGAAGGGGGGTATCAACCCTGAAGGAGGTGAATGTGCTCATGAAACTGAACAACTTTCCCCAAAGAATATAGGTCGAAGTATGAAAAAAAATGTTAGACCTCCCATAGTAGTAAATCAATCAGCTGGTTGTCAATTTTGTAAGGGAAGGCCAATTTTTTTTTTTCATATTTCGACCTATGTTCTCTGGGGAAAGTTGTTCAATTTCGCGAGTTCTGTGGTAAAACTCAATGTTTAATAAATCACACGGAATTAAGCAAAAAAATTCATTTCAGAAAATCAAGTAAAACCTAAGGACAATGACCATGTTCTTGAAATAAGCGCTAAACGAATAAATTGTGCAGGGTGCTACGACAGACTGCGGAAAACCTTTAATAGTACCGAAGCAAAAAAAAAAAGTAAAGAAAATAAAGAAATATTGCAGGAAATGCAACCAAAACCTTTGCGTAACATGTTTCCAAGATAGGCATAAGTAAATAAAAACATTTTACAGTTCTTTTACGATAATTCTGTTTTATTTTCGATATCCCCTTATATTTCTCTGTCCCGTCACTACTAAAAATACTTTCTAGTGCGGTTCAGGTCGATATCGGCCTGCCGCTTTTCCTGCTTTATTTCTCATTTCTTGTTTGGCAATCCGGGGCGAATCAAACCTATGGACGTTGGGTTCAAGCTCATTCTAACAATATAAAAAAAAATGTATACATTATGTTTCCACAAAGTTATAGCAATTTAATCTATCCTAGTGCTGGTGGGTCTAGATCGACCACTCACGCACTGGCGGAAACATCATTGGGGGCGCATTTTGGCCCGCCGCCGCACTAGATAAAGTATTATGATTTTACTTGCCGCAGTAAACGTGTTAAGCGAGTTTTCACTCTCTCGCAATGATACCATGTGTGTAACTTCTCCATTAGTTCACTCTTATGATTATGTTACCCTTGGAATGTGCGGCAACATTATTAATTTATTGACAAAAATACATCAGTAAAATTTTACAGGTTCCCTAGACACAAAAACAAGTAAAGGTTTTGTATTAAAAAGTAAAGCATAAATGTAAAGTAATTATTATTATTTAATTTTTTCCCACCCAGGACAGATAATTGTGTTATAAGCACTGTCATTTGTTGTGTGTCTGGGCTTACTTTATCTATAATTTTTACTTAGAAATATATCATATATACGAGTACATACATCACATATCTTCAGTACTGGAATGACTACAAAGCCAAATTGAAAAAGTTGGCTGCAGCATATGCATCAGCTCAACATGAGACTGGTGGAGGACAGTCAACAAGCAAGGCACCTACTGATATAGAAACGAAATTCCTTTGTATTTTGGGAAATTATTTTGGTTTCGGGTTGCCAGGAATAAGTGTTCGCGCCACTAAACAAATTTCGTGAAAACTATTACTTTTATATTTTGGTTGGTATCATATCACCTCCACTATCCCTTTCCTGCACAACGCCTATACAATATGTGTGAGCGAGATGGACTCACCACCGCACGCTGCACATTCGTTGTACATAAATGAAAAAAGTAGTCTCGTTTCGTCCGTGTTACCGTCGTGTTCGAAATGCGCGCGTGTGCCACATGAAAAATCACAAATTAATAACTTTCGCATTGTGGTTTGTTAATTTGGTGAAAATACCACCTGGACTTTATGCTGCTCCGCACAGGAAATAAGGTATCGTGCAATCCATCCCGTTGGAACTGATTATTACTTTCATTTTTCCTAACAGTTCTAATTTCCTACTTTGACGCCAACCAAGTTTTACAAACTCCTTGAACTTAGCTAACCCGCGCAAACAATAAGGGTTGAGCCCTTTTGTTGTAAGTTTAATAGTACACTATTATTATTTTCTACATGACTGTTAGTTGCGTCTAAGTTTACCAATGCTGCATTTCATAACTGAAATGCAACCACTTAACGTCAACATTGTACTTTTCTAAAACAGAGCTAAACAAATATATTATTTTATTATTTTATACTACTACCACCTAACCAATACTTTTTTTTAATTACAGGAGATACAAACAAGCACCCGTATGTAAAAACACAATCACCCGTATGGTTATTACGCCCAATTCAGAAAGTGTTCTGACCGATTTCGACATGGTTTTTCCATCCGAACACAATGTAGTTCGAACTGAACCATCATCGAGACTGATGTCCCCACCCATACCCTCAACATCTTCAATGCCTGTATTTCCTTTGCAACATTCTCAACCATTAGTCGTAACCCCAAGCCGATCTCTGTGCCGGCGAAACCCTCTTAATTCGCCCATAATCCCTTCGCACGCTCAGCCCACATCCATACTAAAAAGGCGAGACAATCGACTTTGTAGTACATTCGCGAGTCGCCGGCAGCTTATACCTTCGTTTCAACCACGAACTGCAACCATAACAAGCCAACCTACCAATGAACCACGCACCACTGCAGCTCCAACCATCGCTCGCCTTTCTCCAAAAAAACCAAGATCGTATTAAAACAAAGCCCGTTTTGTCACATTCTTTGACAATAAAATTAATGATACGAAATAAAATTACCATAAAGTGGTTAAATTTTACTGAAAACTCAATTTTAACACACAAATACGCAAAAACAATTTAGTTTAGGCTAGTAAATAGCAACTTTTATTGGATCGCAGTTGAGCCGATTATTTTGACAGATCGATATACGTTTAGTGAGCTTGTGGTACAGTTTGTAATATGATATGCGGTCATGGTACGAATTTCAATGCGTGAAACCAGAAAACCGATTCAGTTTAGGTCGGTTTCATTTGTTGACATTGTAACTTGAAACCACGAACTCTTAAAACAGGCCAATTTTAGTCGAGAATTGAATCGAGGAACTGCAAGAACGTCCAGATTTTGACCAATTCACCACATTATTCTATTATAAGTACTGAAGACTCCGTCGCCTATGAGGTAACCAATTCTGGAGCCGAAGATTTATCCCCAGTAGCTGTTATAGATTTGTCTAACATTGGTTCTTCATCATACCAGCATCAGCCTGAGCAGCTAAGACAACTACTACGCGAAATCGATATGCTACATGTGACTAAGTTTGGAGCATCGACATCTTCAGTTGATTTTCATAATGATAACGCAATACACATGATGTATTTAAAAAAAAAATATTTCTTACATTAGACAGATTACAAGTCTTTCTCTTGTAGAAATAGGCATCCTCCAGTTTGTGGTGCATTTGCTTATTTTAGGGATGAGCAGTTCATGTAGTTCTTCGAACAATACTTGAGACATACGAAAGTGTGTAAAAAAACTATCTTCATGTGATGCAAGCTCGCGACACAACCGATGATATTCTCCTAAATCTTTTCTATTTTTATTGATGTCGTGCACCCATACTCTTTTTTTCTGTAACCGTGATGGAGCATATAAAAGTAACAATTCTTCCAAATCTGAATCACTAGACATCTTAATACTTTTAAATTTTCACACTGCTATCGATAGGCACTATGATTTGGCGAATGTTAGGTTGCGTCAAGGAGCGTTGAGCTCATCTAGTCAATTTGTGTGACCTGAAAAGAGCGGGACGTTAAAACGCGACGCTATAACGCTATTACGCAGCGATAAGTACGCGTTCTGTTTGACGAAGCCTTTATTGAACTGTTTTGTGTGATTTTGAATTAAAAATGTAAGTGATTGTTAATTTGTGCTTAGAATATTCAAGCTACATCATTAAAGATTATTCTCAGAACGAAATTTCATTATATTTGCCGTTATTTTAGATGTGTGATGAAGACGAAGTATTTGAGTTTTTAGAAGATGATTTCAATAACTCTAAAAAGAAAGTAAGTGACAAAATTAATAGGAATGCCATTCGAAATTTGATCAAACCATTCGAATTGCAAGACGGAATGTTTATACAGCGATATAGGCTAACGAAAAAGTGTGTACTTGAGCTGTGTAATGAGATGAGACCATTCATGTCACAACTTACGAAGTCCACAGATTTGAGTGTAGAAGTCAAGGTTTGTAGTATATTATAAACATATTTATATCATGGAACTAAATACGAAGTATTAAAAGGACTTAAATTAACGATATAAGTACTAGGCACATTTTGGATACATTTTTGTATCCAAACCACCAGGTCAAATATGGTCTATCGAAGCTATTACTTGCTTGTCTTTTATTTATTTGTTTCATTTCTTTATTTTAGGTCCTCCAGGGTATCCTATGGCGATGACGCTGTAAGCTACATACACAGATTCCCACTAATAGATACCGCATTATTGAATGTTTGTACTGATTCGAGTGCACAAAATTTGGTGGTATGCAAGCATTGCGGGGGACGTGTGAGTGTGGTAGAATATTATGATTATTTTATTATCGATAAATTTGGTTGGATGATCTGAATTATTGATATTAATTGTATTTTCGATTTGTTGGTTATTGATAAATAAATATATTACTCAATAGTTACTTGATATTTATTAAAAAAAATAAAACTGTTTATATATTTGTGCATTTAAGTTTTTAAAATATATATTTTACTGATTTTTTTTTGTATAAATACGTCTCACAGAATTCATGGGATATGTCTTCCGGGATAAATAAAGCAATCTTGTGTCAATGTATTTTTCTATGACACTCTTAGCGAAATCAATGACATGATTACAACTTTCGTGAGAGAAATGATGATATATTATTTCAGGGAAAATATCCTAATTAATGAAACTGCTTAATGTTTTGCGTTACAAAACGGAATTTGTCTTGGTAATATATTTTAGATCCTTGATTTGAATCAATTGAGTTTCGGATGACTTGTTCAGATCGTCTGCAAATTTTAGTGACCATTGTGGACGGTAAGAGCAGTCCTCCTGCATCTCTTGCATAAATCAAACTGGGTTTTTTCTCATCCAGATATTAATGCGTTAACGCACGTATTGCATTTCATCTTTTTTATTAAATAATGTACAACAACGGTATATGCTGTAAGCAATCAATAAAAGTTTCATCAACGCGTTCCTCAGTCTCGCGAGTTTCACCCCTTTTAGTCGTCATATTTATACATTTTATAGCTGAAGAACAGTTTAATATGGCAATATGTTCTAAAGCTATACAATTACCAGTATTAAATCTAAAGTGTTGCTATCTTTAAAGTGTTTTTGCAAAATTGGAGCGCTATTGATACACTCCTGCTAAATAATTGGAAGCGCAAACTCCTAAACTGGAAGCGCAAAGAGGGCACACCGTGTGTTTTTATTCGGTTCGAGTCCGACACACCGCCCCGCCGAACGAGAGCCCCGGCGGGGTGACGGTCCGAGGGGATTTCCACACGTAAAAAAAAAGGGGTTTACCTTTCTAGGGTATACCTGGTTCCCCGGCTATTAGTACCCGAGACGGCGTGCGGTTTTAGTCGGTTCGAGTCCGAGATGCCACCGATAGGTGGTATCCGAGGGGATTTGAGCACCTCTTGCATGCAACGGAGCCAAACGGGCATGGCCACTTCGGGCGCATCAGCATGGTCACGCATGGTCTCTAAGAGTCCTTCCCTGCGCCTGAACAGTTAAAAAAGCTTAGAGCCTTTAATTATGTAGTTACGCTTCTGTGCTGAACCGGGCTTTACAAAAGAAGCTTTTGGCACATATGTTTAACCTGGAATCCATAGGCACAATTTTTATTAAAGTACAATACAATTGTGTGAAGTTGTTGGAGTAAAAATCACCAGTGTCACTTGTGATGGTCTAGCTGGGAATTTCAGCATGTTCACATCTTTGGGTTGTAATGTTCTGAGGGAACAAACATTGACCAATTCTAACAGCCACGATAGTATAGTCCATATATTCATCGACCCATGCTGTAAAATTAGTGAGGAATCTTTTGGAGAATTGATAGTCTTCGTTGACCCAACGGGCCGAGAAATAAATTACAAATATATGGAGCTCTTTCTAGGTTTACAAGAAGAGAAAGGTCTTCATCTAGCTACTAAAATTTGTAAAGCCCATATTTTTTTTGAGAAAAAACAAATGAAGGTGATGATCGCAACACAATTATTTGGCAGTTCCTTGAATGGCAGATGCCCTTGAATTTTGTAGCAACCAATGAAAATTAAAAACATTTGAAAACTGCAGTGAAACTGTGAATTTTATAAACATAACATAAATAATGGACCACGTGTTTGATGTACTCTATAGCCACTCTATTCGTCCACCTGGTTGGAAGAAATCTATGTGGCCATAAAACATGGGCTTTATCAGAGCGCTGTTGAAAGTACTATTGAGTACCTAAAGAGTTTGAAACTTTTTACAAGAGAGCTATTAGTAGAGCCACAGCGAAAGATCGAATTTAATGGTTTGATAGTTAATATGAAAAGTGCGTTAGCATATGTAAGTATATGTGTATCCTCAAACAAGTGCTCCGAAAGTGAGCACTTGTTTGAGGATACACATATACTTACATTCGTCCCACTGTATAAAAGTAGCCAGGACCACCTTAATTATTTTTCAAGCAATAAGGGGCTAGCTTTAAGTCATTCCTCCCCAGTGTCCTATTTTTAAGACACTATTTTCATATATTTTTTTTACATGTTAGGTCTTTTATTTTTAACATTTCTGATGAAAACCAAATTTTTACAATATTTTTCTAATAAAATATTTTTTTTCGCTGTAAAAAATGTTTACGTAATTTTAATGTATTTTTTTAAATTGATCATTTTTGTTACCCCAAGGAGAACATTTAGTTCCGATTTTAAATACCGTAAAAGAAAAAAGTTACCAACTTCAAAGTACATAAAACTGTTTTTTAGACTACCAAATATATAACAAATAAAAACAAAAACAAAATATAATTTGGGAACTTGTGGTATACATTCGAAATAAGCCGTACTAAAATATGACACTGGAAACATGTCCGTACAATTTGCCGCGAAAGCGTGTTCGATCCTGTTACGCTAAGTACAGGTTCGAACGTGTCAATTGTTTGTTTCTTGCGGGTCTTGCTTGTGTTTACATTAGTCGATAAGTCTACGCCAAACACATAACATCTCGTGACACGATTGTGACTATTTTTCGAACTAGAGTTAAAAAAAAATTGTTTATAAGGTTGAAAAAGGGACGTAAAAATATTTGTATTTTGTTCTTTATCAAATATTAAACAATATACCTATATTTATATGTATATGTAGCTATATTTTTTTATTATTATTTATAGATCATGGATCCAGTAAAAAAAAAAAGTATATAAAAGCTTTGAAGGTGTCCGAAATCATAGACTATATTCAAGATATTGAAGATTGTTGTGATGAGGAGTTGAATGACATTGAAGTTGTCATATTGGTTCCGGATGAAGTAGATGAAATGACTGACATAGATGAAGGTCCTGACGACGATATGGGAGTTTTGCCAGTGTCAAATGTACCTCGTCAAGTGGAATTTTCGTATACAATTGATAACGACGAGGAAGATTATTCTACTCAAACCACATCTCGGACAAGAAAGACAGTCACTGGGCCTAAGTGCTAACCAGTGTATTCTGAAATACAGCCGGAATCTAATACTGCTCAAAAATGTTTAGAAAATATGATTACGGAGTTGGAAGGGAAATCAGCGGTAGAAATATTCGAAATCTTGTTGTGTGACGATATTCTTGAATATATTGTGCAGGAACCCTTAACCTACGTCAAACATTATAAAAATGATTTGAACTTCAATATAACTGTAAATGAGTTATAGGAATTTTGTTTTTCTCTTCGTATCCAACCACCACTTGCCTCAAAGTAAACTTTAAATGCTATTTACATTTTAATGACAACACAAGAATTGATAATACTTACAAAGCTTTATACAAGATAAAGCTAATGAATCATTCCGAAAGTTTGGGATATTTAAATCCAATTTAGCTGTTGATGAGATGATTGTCAAATACTTTGGTCACCATGGGATCAAACAATTTATAAAAGGTAAACCAGTGAGGTTTGGATACAAGCTTTGGGCCCGGTTTTGAGTCAGCGGATATTGTTATAACTTTTCGCTTTATACAGGCAAGGATGCTCAAATCTCTGCTAATACTGGTGATGGCTTCGGTTCAGCAGTGGTAAAAAAGTTGCTTGCAGTATGTACAGATCCCAGAGCACTTGCAGTCTATTTCGATAACTTTTTGAGCAGCATGCAATTGTTGATTGATTTGAAGGGTTCAGAGCTACTGGGACAGTCAAGACACAATAGGACTAAGGCCAAAATTGCCGTGAATCAGACAAGACTTATTCATAATTATAATAAAAACATGGGAGGCGTGGATAAACATTTTATTTATTTTTATTTTGGTCACTGTATAACGAAGAGGGACAAACAGAGGCGTTGCCAAGGACAAGGTTGTAAAACAAACCTCTGACCTTTTGTGTTAAATGTGAAAAAACACGACAGTGATTGTTTTATACCTTATCATACAAAATATACTCTTTTTTTTTAACTGTTTGTATGTAAATAAAGCTGATTTTCTTATAATTGTTCACTTTCATTATTTCTGATCACATGACCCCACTGTCATATTTATAGGACAGGCTGACTCAGCAATTATTATTTTTTTGGAAAAATATTTTTTCTCAATATATTATGTACTTAATTTAAAGACTTGATCAAGAAATTCCAATGTTTTCGATGCTTGGGAAGTAATGGGTTAACAATAAGCCTAATTCTGGCCAATTTCACCAGCATACAAAAAAATCTGAGATAAGAGAGGGCGGAGATAGAGATGAGAGCTGAGATCAGAGAGGGCGGAATTGGTATTGGTACACACAATGGGTGTTAGAATATATTGCAGGTTTCGTGAGGCGGAAGTTGTCACAGACATAAAATGTGTCACCTGTTTATCACAACAAAATGCAGACAGCTTGAATTTCCAGAAGTCCAGGTGGCCTTCGGTATGCATCTGCTGCAGTAGTAGACATTATAAATAAAACCGAAAAATTCATAAAACCCGACCTCACGACCCAAAACGAAGCCAGAAAATTATTATTTATATATTTTTAAGTTTTTGACAGAATATTATGAATGCGGAAACTTTTTATAGTTGCCACTCAATACTGAGCACAACATAAATCACAGTTACTTATAAAATTCGTTATTATATGTCCACCGGAAAGACACAGCGTTGATTTGAAGATGCTGCTTGTGTTTTTTCATTTTTCTACGTAATTAGTCTAAGTTACATACCTTTCTGTTCTTTCTTCGTTTATTAGTTACCTAAACTCACAGCAGAGGGCGCCACAGTTCATTTCTATTCTGTGCGCCTGATGACAGTTTGCCATAGCGTTTGTGTTTTTTGGCGGTTGAGTATAGCAAAAAGTTTTTCTGTGTAAAAAATATTTAGTTTGAGTTTATCTTTGTTGTAACTGAATTTTTCAAAATATTAATAAGTATTTTTAACCTTAATTTAAAGGTTAGTACAAAGAAAACGTGCTAAAGTAGCGGTAAGTTAAGTGTCAGAATTATGACTCCTACAATGGAAAGCGAGGAGGCGCAAGTTTGAGTTTATCTTTGTTATAACTGAATTTTTCAATATATTAAAAAGTAGTTTTAACCTTAATTTAAAGTTTAGTACAAAGAAAACGTGCTAAAGTAGCGGTAAGTTAAGTGTCAGAATTATGACTTCTACAATGGAATGCGAGGAGGCGCAAGTAGTTGCTCCGGAAGGAGAACGAAACGCCACGAGCTCAAGCTCGGATAACAAGTCCTCTCCTTCTTCTTCGGAAGATGAGGAGGGATTTGCCTCGCCGCGGCCCAATAAACGACCCAAGCGTAAGTCAATACATGTCGCTACGTGTTCGGACCCCCGTATACTAGTTTGTGTTCCACCAGCTGCCAGGAACCGAAGTGTTGCACATAAGCGTTCATATGGTGAAATCGGTACGCGAAAAACTGTATCTTGTCTTTTTATTAAAGGGGAAATCAAATCCAGCAGCTCCTTAAACACTTCCTCGGTCATCCTTAAATAATTTCTGTAACCATTTGGTTCACCAATAACTTCTGCTACTAAGTTTACATCGGACAAGCGTTGTCTCTCTTGCAGCCAGTTTTTGACCCACACTTTGTGGCGTTTTTTTTTTTCTTTGGTTGTTCTTCTTGTAGGAGTATTCCTAAGTAACAAAGTAGTTGTTG